TTTCTCTGTACCAATAATTTAAAAATTGTAAATTAAATTAAATTATTTAATTTAGTATATATATATTAAAAATTTGTATATATGTATACACACGCGCGCGCGCAAATTAAAATAATAATTCATTAAAAAAAGAAAGTTCTTAGTTAAGATAAATAATTTTCTTATATATAGGAAAAATTAGAGAAAGATGATTGAATAAAATAATAAATATTATTTTTTTATTTCTTTTTTTAATATATGCCGATTTTCTTCATTATATTATATATAAATATAAATATATATATATATATATAAATCGTCATTAAATGATATATCAGAAAATTAGAACATAATTATGAATCTTATAACATATATTTTAATATCATAAATTAGTGAATAAAAATTTTATTATATATTTTATTGTTACTTTAATTTATTATTTATTTACATAATCCATATATAATAAAATAGCAAGTAAAGTCAATTATCTTTCCTATTTTTTTATAATTAGCATATTTTAAAATTATTTATCATAATGATACAAAATTACAATAAAATCAAACTGATGAGTTTAATCACAAAATTTTTTATTATTTGACAAAATATGACAAAAGGCAAACAAATTTTCGATATTATTATATATTCAGGATGTGATGAATTGTACAGATTCTCGTTTAGAATAAGTTATTCATATATTAAAATTATATTTATTAAAAAAATAATCATCTTATATCATTATCATTTTACTTAATGATCCGATAATATATTAATAATTACATTATTTTTTAATTTTATATTAAAGAAAACTGAGAAACTACTATATTAACTATATTTAACTATTTTATAACTATATTTTTTATATATATACAATATTTGTTATTAAGACATGTAAGATTATTATTATTACTTTAAAATATTATTTTTTTAATAAAAAATAAAAAAGTTATATTTATTTTTTACCATCATTTTACCCGATTTTTTATCAGTAAGACGTTGATCTATCTTACTGTTGTTTTATATTTTGTTAAATATAAAATAGAAATAAAAAATCAATACACAATTTCTAAATTTTTCGTTGATATTAGAACTTTAATATAATTTTAATATATTTTCGTTTTTATTATTATTTTATTATTATTATAATTTATATAATATTATTATAATTATTTTTGTTTTATTTTTTATTTTTGTAATCCATCAATTGAATATATTATGAATTGAATATATTTATTAATTTCCTAAAAAATTATAAATTTTTATTTGATATCATAAATATTGTATACTTATATTCTTTTTTATTACTATTTCTATCTTAAAAATAATTAATGGAAATATTTTAATATAAAAAAACTTGTAAGATTGATCAAAGTAATATAATTAATCAATTCTTATTTTTGCAATTTTTAAGAAATGAGTAGGGATTACTCAAAAAATAAATTTTATTTTTTAAAAAAATTTTAAAAAACAATAAAATTTTTATTAATTATTTTTTAATTTTATTTAAACACAAAATAATTAATGGATTCATAAATTATCAAGATATTATAAATAATTTATGTCTCTTTATTTTGATTGTCCTCGTAACGAGAATTCTAATATATATAATAAAGTATTATATATATTTAAATACCAAGTTCGACTATTTTAATTAAATGGCATAAAATTTTCAATTATTTTATTTTTTCTTATTCTAATTTATTTTAATTATCATTATAATTATTAAGAATTATTACTAAGAATAAGACTAATTAAAATAATGAATATTTTTATTATCTGTTGCGAAAGTTACCTATAATTAAAACTTAAATAATTCAAAGGCAAATAATAAATTATTAAATGAATTGCTATATTTCCGATTACTTACATGTGTACTTAAAAAATTTAGGCAATTATATATAATACACTATATATATATAACATTTATCTCAATAAACAATTTATAAATTATAATTAATTTCGATTATAATTACAATAATACAATCATTTAAATATTGAAAAATATTTTGTATCAAATTATACATAATTTTTTTTTCTAATTATAAAATAATTATAAAATAACAAATTTATACTTTAATATAATATATAGTAGATTATAATACATAGTACTTCATTTTTATTTTTATTAAATATCATATCTTAAATTTAAAAATATTTTTATTAAATTTTTCACTTTTATTTATAAAATGAAATAAATTCGCTTTATATGGAAAACATTCAGAATATTTTTTATAAAATAAATGTACTTATGTCAGTTCTATTAGTAAAATTTATTTCCTATAATTTTTCACTATTGTAAAAATTTTTTATTGGAAAATAATATAAAATAAAATAAATTTAT